TTTTTTTTTTTTTGGGGCTTGGCAGCTTTCTCAAGGACTACGGTATCAAGTAATTGGTCTTGCCATCTGATCTACATCAGTTTTCTAAGGCAGACTGTGTGAATATGGTTTAACTTTCTGGGCTGGCGCTGGTATACAGTCTATGTTTCACGTGCAAACAGCAGTGTAGTTAAACAAAAAGTAGATAACATATTTTAAACCAATCTTTGTTTTCGGATTATTTCTCCCGAAATCGCCACAGGTTTATGACCCTTCTTTTTTTAGCAAAAGGGTTAACTTTTAGTTAAGGCATTCAAAGTTAGTCACATCTTCACTGTATGTATTTTTGGTTGTTATTGTTGGGTACATGTGGTTATGTTTATGTACATTACATCTCCCCCACCCCTCCCCCCGAATTTACTGAACTATTTTGATGTTTACTTTCTCTCTCTCTCTCTCTCTCGCTCTCCCTCTCTCTCACTCTCCCTCCTCTCCCCCCCCCTCTCTCTCTCAGCGGAATAGTTAACTGACGTAAATAAAACACACGGTTAACTAACCAACCGGTAAGCCAACCAACCAACCCGAAAAAGGCCGTAGTGACGATGGACAGAACGAAGACGGCAACCCGCTCCTTGGGCAGCTCGTAGTCCCTGAAGGTGGCGATGGCTGACAGGAGAGCTGTGATGATGGCGAATGTGGTTATGGGATCGTACAGCATCGATCCACTAATGATCGTGTGCATAAACAGGAGGAGCACCGGCTCAGGGTTTATCTGGAGAAGAAAATCGTACGCCATTTTTTATTTATATATTAACTCTTCGATTCTTCATTTTTATCCTATCCCAGATGATGTCACAGGACAGCCCCACACTTTAGAGGGTGGTAAGACTGGGTTTCCCAGCTTTCTGGTGCTTTTAACCACCTCAAAACATCTAGAACTGGCCCTAAACACAACCCACCTACGTCCTACGAGAGAGTGCAGCCTAGGTCCCACGACTGTATGCAGCCTAGGTCCCACGACTGCATGCAGCCTATCTACCATCCCCTGACATTTTAGACTGTCCCGTGACCTGTGGATTTCTCCTGTTTGTGGTAGGATATTAATAAAGCACCTACTCTTTTAGTACCAAAATAAGGTTACGTAGAAGACGCAAATGAAGACACATTTTTGATTAAAATTGATCAATACATTACTTTCAAAATAGAACTATAACAAGAGAAGTAACCCTGGATAAGCCAGATTTCTTGAGTATGTTCTGAAAAATGAAAAATTAAGAAAACATATTAGGCTAGCGATGGGATTTAGTAGAGAGACTGAATCCCGCATGATGCGTTGTTTGGGACTCAAAGAGTTAATCCTTAGTAAATTGCCGTGGCTCCCTGATCGACCCAGACTTGAAAATGGGCACCAGGTACAAGTTCTGGAAAGTGAAGGCGGCCGGCGTTATGCAGACATCAACCCCCTATTGCCATCTGGTCTTTAAAATACACGCCTAGCGTAATACGCCTGAATGCGTGGGAGAGGGTTCTTTACTTGTTTACTTGTTGGTCCTTGATTCCTTGTGTGGGCTTCGCAACCACTCCCACCCCACCCCCGCACCCCCCCCCCCCAAAAAAAAAACCCCAAGAATGTCATAAAAGGCTACTACTTGGGGTTGTTGACTTCCCTTCCTGGGAGGCGAGGTACCAAGATATGCACACGTAACTCATGTTCTGGAAGAAGAGCAAAGTGTTAAACTGGATGAACAACCAAAAATTTCCGCCGGAGTTTACAGCCGGTGAAGAAGAGGACGTCTGTGGTCGTAGTCTGTGGTTTAGGCATTGCGAACGCGCTTCTCAATTCGTGGAGCTGGGTTCGATCCCAGCTGGAGGGGATCTGGCACCACACCGCCTTGTGTTGGTGTAAACAGTGGTATTCACAGCCGACCGAATAGTAAGCAATGGCAAACTACGTAACGTAAAATTATCTAGTAAAATCACAGCCGCCTCCCCCCCCCCCCCCCCCCCCCCCCCAGGACAAATTCAAACCAACGTCAACATTTGTTGCTTATTTGTAGTTTTTCTTGACAATTTAATTTCAGAAGTTTGCCATTGATTTCTGAAAGCTCGAAATCAATGCAAGTTGTTCTGCCGTCAAGTTGCCCACAGCTGGACTCAAACCAGGTATTTTGGTATTACAAACCGCATTCATAAACCCCCAAAGACGCCGACACATGTTTTAAATAATCAATTGTTAGCTAGAGAGATAAACAACATGTTGAAAATGAGAGTCGTCACTGGTTATGTGTGTAATCGGCCCTGCTTTATGGTTCAGAAGTCTGGAAAATGATTAAGCAACTAGAACATTGAATTAAGTCTTCGGAAACGTGGATATACAGAAGAATAGGTGGTATTTCATGGACACAAAAATAATCATACACATAGGACCTGGGGAGACTGTGAATTAAAAGAGACTCGATGAAAAAAAGGCGTTGAAACATGTCGGTCAAATTAAAAGGCATAACACACTTTTTAAAAAAGGTACAAATAACGTTCTAGTCAACAGAAAGAGAGTGACTTCCATTTCCCTTCATGCCTTGTCGGGTCGCACAGTGCGCCTATGTTGCGGGGTGTCATGTATTCCTTAATGTCAAAGCTGTAACCGTTCTCTCTTTTCTTATGTTGTCATCGTTAACTTGATTATTTTCACGTTCTGCCACGTGCACGACAGTTCGGGAGTGTGTAAACTGTGAGGTTTTTCTATTCCTACGATTCTTGTCAGTGGCTTCTTTTTCGAGTGTGTGTGCGTGTGTGTGTATGTGTATGTGTGTGAATGTGTGTGTGCGTGCGTGCTTGTGTGTGTGTGTGTGTGTGTCTGTGTGCTTGCTATCGGTTTTACTGAGACCGCAAGGGACAATGATGGGCATTCTGTGTGGTTTTCGTTGGCACAGGAACGGAGCACACATAGTGCTACCCGTTTGTTATAAAGATGGAATTGCGATAACTGATTACTAGACTGGCTGGTTATGCCCCCCTCGGTGGTGAACTGATGCATGACAAGCCAGATCTTGTAAGGGCCCTTTGGGAGAGATTGAAAAGTGCGGAGGTACAAACAGATCATCACGGTCTGAGAAGAATGGTGAAGCGAGGAGTGACCAGGGGTCTGGCCAACGCTCAACACTCAAGGGAAAGGCGGGGCGGTTGAACACTCTGACTGTTAATGGGTCTATAGCAACTGGCACTCTTTGCTTGCTGCTCAGGATGGGGATGGAGCGGTAATGGGAGTTTCCCGAGTGCCGAGATGTTGATTCTTAATTCAACACATGTTTATTGTCCTGCTTGTTTGAAGTTTCTCTGTTTGTAGTGAGTATAACATAAACAGACCAGTTCAAATCTCATTTGGAGGCGACAGGTTCGATTCCCGGCACGGTAACTACAGCTTTCGGTTTGTATGTTGTCAAGTGTGTCCTTTTATCTTACTTTTATCCTTTTATGTGTGCCGCTCCATTCATTGCCTGTTTGTTTATTTTATATTAACATATGTCCCATCGTCTTAGCCTTTCAACTGTTGATTCTGTTGGTTGTCCACACACCACGTACGCTTTCACGCTGGCTGGCTGCACTAAATGCAAATAGGTTTCCCAGCAAGTACACACCTGTGACACAACAGTCAACTGTGCTCTCGTGTTCACAGCCTATGCTCCACATAACACACCCTCAAATCATTGATCCGAATTGAACGCTCGCTCAACATCTGCAGCAAGTTTGTAGGTGAGCAAGCGAGGACGAGGTCAGCAAATAAAACAGGAGGGGATACAATGTAGTTAACTCCCCAGTTAACTGATGATAACTGAACTGTGTATATAAAGCATAGTCGGCTCTGTGGCTAAGTCAATGCAAACGCTTCGTAATGCCGGGAGGCCGGGTTCGATCCTAGCTGCGGGCCATGCGCCTTGCGTTGGTTTCGACAGTGGAATCAAGAAAGCCCACAGTTCAGGGTTAATGGCAAACTATTGGACGTAAATGTGCCTAAAAAAACCACACAACAGCAAGGGGCTGTTGGGATTGGTTTTGCAACGTCCTGTAAAGGATATGCAACTAACCTTATATTACGTACAGCGCTCAGACGAAATGGGTCTTCAAAACAGGCATTCTCCCCAAGACAGCGTTGTTGTGTATGTGCTGCAAAATGGAAGGTATGCGAAATATGGTCACCTTTTCCTCGGAAAGTTCTGGTTTTTCGTCAATTTCTGAACTTTAGTCTCATTCCAGAATGTGAGTTTTGCGTGAACATCTGCTTTACAGATCTGGCTTATTTGTATGCAAGCTGTTGGTTACTGGCCTCATGCAGATGCACTCAGACTAAGGAAACATCATAATTATTTATATTTTACGATATGCTCATTGAGGGAGAGGGGGTCGGCAGTAGGTCAGTTTCATAATGGAATCCCGGAACCCACACGGGGACTTTATGGTATTAGAGTGAGTGAATGTACAGCTAAGTTTCTACAGTGAATATTGATAGGATTTGAACTGGTTGGTAAGTGTTAGCCTGTAGGATATTTACTATGCGGTTTTGAGTGAGTGGGTGTTTGAATGATGGTTCCCTGCCTCGCAGGCAGATGCACTCCGACTTGAAACATGTCGGTCAAATTAAAAGGCATAACACACTTTTTAAAAAAGGTACAAATAACGTTCTAGTCAACAGAAAGAGAGTGACTTCCATTTCCCTTCATGCCTTGTCGGGTCGCACAGTGCGCCTATGTTGCGGGGTGTCATGTATTCCTTAATGTCAAAGCTGTAACCGTTCTCTCTTTTCTTATGTTGTCATCGTTAACTTGATTATTTTCACGTTCTGCCACGTGCACGACAGTTCGGGAGTGTGTAAACTGTGAGGTTTTTCTATTCCTACGATTCTTGTCAGTGGCTTCTTTTTCGAGTGTGTGTGCGTGTGTGTGTATGTGTATGTGTGTGAATGTGTGTGTGCGTGCGTGCTTGTGTGTGTGTGTGTGTGTCTGTGTGCTTGCTATCGGTTTTACTGAGACCGCAAGGGACAATGATGGGCATTCTGTGTGGTTTTCGTTGGCACAGGAACGGAGCACACATAGTGCTACCCGTTTGTTATAAAGATGGAATTGCGATAACTGATTACTAGACTGGCTGGTTATGCCCCCCTCGGTGGTGAACTGATGCATGACAAGCCAGATCTTGTAAGGGCCCTTTGGGAGAGATTGAAAAGTGCGGAGGTACAAACAGATCATCACGGTCTGAGAAGAATGGTGAAGCGAGGAGTGACCAGGGGTCTGGCCAACGCTCAACACTCAAGGGAAAGGCGGGGCGGTTGAACACTCTGACTGTTAATGGGTCTATAGCAACTGGCACTCTTTGCTTTAGTCTCATTCCAGAATGTGAGTTTTGCGTGAACATCTGCTTTACAGATCTGGCTTATTTGTATGCAAGCTGTTGGTTACTGGCCTCATGCAGATGCACTCAGACTAAGGAAACATCATAATTATTTATCTTTTACGATATGCTCATTGAGGGAGAGGGGGTCGGCAGTAGGTCAGTTTCATAATGGAATCCCAGAACCCACACGGGGACTTTATGGTATTAGAGTGAGTGAATGTACAGCTAAGTTTCTACAGTGAATATTGATAGGATTTGAACTGGTTGGTAAGTGTTAGCCTGTAGGATATTTACTATGCGGTTTTGAGTGAGTGGGTGTTTGAATGATGGTTCCCTGCCTCGCAGGCAGATGCACTCCGACTTGAAAAGACCCCCCCCCCCACCCCCCCCCCCACCTCCGCCCTCCACGAATGGTGTCCCAGAACACACAAGAAAAACCCTGTATGTGAAAACGCGTGTTGTTGGCCGTTAGGTAAGCTAAAACAATTTCATTGAAATGCAGCAGCCAGAGAGAGAGAGAGAGAGAGAGAGAGAGAGAGAGAGAGAGAGAGAGAGAGAGGGAGAGGGAGGGGGTTGAGAAGCATCGACAACTCTTTAAGCTGCTTTACTAAACTAAAAAATAAAGCTTCATATCTGGATAAAACCCTCTAGACGAAAGTCGATTTTCTCGACTTTAACAGTCAAGCTTCAACTTTAGCATGCCGGATTAAACAGGAAACACGGCTTACTCTGACCTGGTAGATCTTGATGAGGGAAGCAGCCATGGCGACTGCCAAGGCAAAGGCAACAGCGACGTTGATCATGAGAGCGATTGCAATGACCTTCAAACAGAGAAGGCAGAGAACAAACTTCTTTACCCCCGGTGCGAAATCACGGATGGCATCAACCCTCATGGCGAAACAAAATGGAGGATGATTAAGAAGCTTCCACTCAATGCAGTTTTACCCCTCGTTAGATCCTCGATTACGCCCAGGCTGCACAATCACCTCGAAATAACGACTAGAAAGTTCTTAGTTTCCAACGAAAAGGAAAAGTTAACTAAGAATGATCTAAGTGATCTGCCCTTTGAATTATTTCATCGACCAATGAAATGGTGTAATGTTCCAGGTTTGCTTCTGATGCCCTTTCCAGAAGTAAAATTATAAATCCAATAAATCGAAACAAGTAAAATGGCAACAAATTGTGTTCATTAAGTGTGAGTCAGAGCTTAGTTTTCCCCAACTCACAAATGACTCAAGTTTACTAGGAAATATACTGTGTTTATAATTAAATCTGTTATCGTTTCCAATAAGCAAAACTACGAAAAGACGAACGTTCAAAAGCCACTAAACGAAAGATCTGTGGTAGATCGTTTAGGCATGAATGAATTCAAGTTAGCCGGCAATCCGACAGGACCTAGTAGCAAACGAAAATAGCAAACATCCTTCAATAAAATGTAGAAACTTCTAAACTAACTTGAAGAACACAATTCCACTTCAGTGTCTTGCACACATCAACTGACTGCCGCTAACACGGAAACAACACTCAGGCTTCCCCAACTTCTTCCTTTTCATGGCCCGGTGATATCCGAAAATAACAATACCACATAACATCACGTCAACAGATAACCAGTTATCTGATAATACACCAGCGATAACAGCTTCTGATGTATATAATATACAGTAACTTTAACTTTCCCTAGCCAAAGCTCACACAAATCGGACAACTGTGGTTACAATAATCTCTATACGCCCGCTGACTAGCCTCAACGACGTGTTTGCAGGTAAGAATTTACCGGACAGGAAAACGATTTCATGTAAAATGTGTATTAACCGTATCAAACATATAAGCACGTTATTTGTGTCTATATTCCTATTATTATTCGCAGCTGTTGCATGGGCTGATGAGCGAAGGGACCCAAATCGAATGGATCAATGCAGCTAGTGAGTTGCACGGTGGATGGTTTATTGCGATATGCAGCTTTGGCAGACTATCCATACTCGCATAAGTAAAGGCAATGTGTAAGAAGAAATCATTAAATCAATGCACTCTAGCAATATATAAAGAAAAAAAAAACATAATAAAATCAATGCACTCTAATAATCTATGCATTTATTTATTAAAGGAGAGGGAGTGAATGAGTAACGCGAGTGACTAATACGATGTTCACACACATTGCCGTGTTTGCTGAAATAAACAGGCAAGATGGTTGAGAAAAGGTCTTTGAAAGAAAAGAGGTCTAAAACGCGAGTGAAATGGTGAATGTCAGGTCATTTGTGCTCACTTCCTCAATAGACTTCCTTCCATACTATGATACGTTGTTCTTCACAACGATGATAAGAATGCAGATGGGAGCAGTCACAACAGCTACCTGCCAGCTTGAAAACCAGCTGCACAGACATGTCTTCATTGTAACTAACTCGCAAAGCATGTGAAAAAAGGTGGAGACATGTGTGCTCCGTGCAGAGTGGCAAGCATTGTTCCAGAGTTCACCGGTTATTAGAGTTCTTTTGATATTTTCGCTAAGACTTGCGGGAGTGTTGGGAAATGAACAGAGAGACAAACTGGCTGGTTCTGCACCAATGGGTGTTGAATTTATGCATGACAAGCTATGTGTGGTTAAGGGTCTTTGAGAGAAAATAAACAATGCGAAGTCATGAATAGGTCATTATGGCCTCATAAAAATGGTACAGCTAGAAATGACAAGGGAGGGGTAAATGTCGACAATCTAAACTCAGATGAAGGGTAAGGCGGACATATAATCAAATTTTTACTGGCAGCGTCGGAATCGGAACTCTCTACTGGCTGCTGAAGATGAGGACTGAGCGCTTACTAGAATGACTAGAGTGCTATGATGTCAGTTCTTAGCTGAAAACACAACCTTTGTTCGCCACATTAAAACACAGACAGTTGAAATTCTTTTAGAACACACTAAGACGGCGAAAACTGGAGTAAGTTGTTAAAACGATAACTTTAAAGGCGAAGATAGCCAAAGGGCGAGGAAAAGACGAGATGCCAGGCAGTATGGCACCTTAAGAATTGTCGTCAATGCACTCGGGATTTTCCCATACGAGCTCTGTCTTCTTCCTCAGCAGTCAACAAAAAGTCTACATGCTAACAGTACAGGTTGCAACCCGATAAAAATGTACGCCCACGTTTCCTTCTCAGTGTTAAATGTTGAATTAGAAATCTACATCACAGCACTACGGACACTCCTATTAGTGCTCAGTCCCCATCTTCAGCAGCAAGCGAAAAGTTCCAAATCCGATGATACCAGTAACCGTCTGATTGTATATCCGTCTCATCGTTCCCCTGAATGTTGAGCGTCGGCCAGATCCCCTGGTAACTCCTCGAGGTGCCATTCTTCGTAGACAGTAATGATCTATCTGCGCCTCCGCACTGTTTACTCGCTCCCAAATGGCCCTCTCAATATCTAACTTGTCATGCATCAATTCAAAACCAAGTGGTGCAGAGCCAGCCAGTCTATCTGCCTGCTCATATACTAACACACCGGCACGACCTGGAGAAAATAACCAAAGGATACTAACAACCCGGGACTTCTGAAGTGATGCTTGCCACTCTGCATGAAGTGTTGAATATCTCCCAGAACCTCTCTACACACCCCCTGATGAAATGAGTCCTGCTGTGTATGAACGTTATGTCTTATTGCACTGTCCATCTTATCTCAGAGAATATTCACTACGTTCGCTTTAAGATAAAGTAGCTCACCGCCAAAGGAGCGACACCGTTTCCAGCACCACATAGCATCGATTCGTCATCAATCAGGTGGTCATGTACAGAACGCCGCTAACGTCACGGCAAGGCTGCAGTCTTTCTTTCTCTAGCCAGTTCTCCAGCCCTATGTGTTTTCATGGTCAATGCATTTTCAATGTCTTGTATCCACATTCGCTGAGGTAGGCTTTTGCTTCATTTTCCGGAAACTACACGCTCCATCACCGTTATTTCCTGCCCACCATGACTATTTACATGGCCAAGATACGTCAGTTTTCGGAACCGGATGCTGTTTATGAGCCAGTTCTCTTCGATGTTCAGGTCATGCATGAGGTCTGCGTCTTTCTTCTTGGTGCACGCTTTGGGTACTGTAACACCCGCCGGACTGAATTGCCAGCACAGTTTCATTCAAACTACTAGGGTATTAAACGGTTTTGGAAATTATAGCAAAAGGATCAATAAACCTAGCTCCCCCCCCCCCCCCACCCACCCCCCCCCCCTTTTCTTCCTCCCATTCCATTTGATATAATGACCCTCCCAACATAGCCAAGAGCCCTTCTTTAGACATTTAGAAATGTTAAAACAAAATGTTTGGTTGTTTAAAATGTTTAAAATGCATGTATGTGACTTTGTAAAACATTGAACACAAAACACTGACAAAAGGCAACACGTGTAAATACACAAACAGAATTACCCAATAAAAGCTTTTCAAAAACGAAAAAAAAAAAAAGCTAAGTTATTTTGTGTATTTGTGTGGTATTGTTTGATTTGTGTGTGTGCTGATGAAGGCTTCAATACTGCAATATTGGATTTTTGTTTGTATTTGTTATATTGTGAAGCTTACTAATATACTTTTCGTTCGGTTTTGTATCTTTTCACGGTATTTAAAGACTTTTTAACTTAACATTATTATTCTCTATCGTTCTTTTCAGGAAGAAATTTTTTATTCGAAGCTCCACCCTGGCTTTGGCCGGGGGCCGCAATATAGACAGGCCATAAATATGGCCAAATGTCTGAACGCGGTTTCTGGGACCTCTCCACGGCGATCCTCATCCACATGGTGGCCCTTTGTGTCATCGGGTGTTTATCGCTTGTGTGATGTCCTGGTGGAGTTGAAAGTCAGTCAGTCAGTCAGTCAACATTTTAATTCAAAAGCGGCGATTTTGTTTGCTCCTTTAAAGACTGAGTTACAGTCCATGGTTCACATCCATGACATGCCATGGCAAAGAAGCATCTGCACTGTGAACTGTGACTCGCTTACAGGCAATGTGTGGCAAGAAGAACAAGTGCTGGAGTTTCACATCTATAATGGCAATATTGCAGCGCTTTCTTTGTTCATCCTAGCACACAACTGGACAATGTGCAGCAACGATCACTTTCGTATATCTTTTCTCTGCTTTTTGGCTGAGACGAAAACGGCCGGAACCAATAGTCTGCACATAAATAAGTCAGCTCAGTAAACCGAATATGCACGCGAAACTTAGGTTCTGGAGCAAGACCAAAACGTCCAACAGGTGAACTCTAAAAAGATGATAATGAAGAAGAAGAAGAAGAAGAAGAAGAAGAAGAAGAAGAAGAAGAAGAAGAAGAAGAAGAAGAAGAAGAAGATGATGATGATGATGATGATGATGATGATGATGATGCCTAACATTCATAGAAATGTACCTTCTTCTCGCGGCTTTGTTGTTGTTATTGTCCAGGTCTGGCAATGTATTATTAACTCAGCATCATTTAATATTGGGGAAAGTGTTCTTTCTTCTAACCATTTCTGCGTGTTTGTTCTTCAGGGCTGGCGACATCTTGCCAATGACCTGGTTTGATCTGTCAGATCTACGTTCGATTTCCATATTGATCTCCACCCCCCCCCCCCCCCCCCCATCCTTAGCCCGGTATCCCCAACGAAACCAAACTTCCTAAGCAAGTTATCACTTTGGTGATTTACTAATAACTGCCGGCTATCATAATTTTGTCTGTAAAGACCTCACCAGAACCCGAGGTCTAACCCCTTTGAGTGCTCCCCCCCCCCCCCCCCCCCCCATCCTTTGCCCGGTATCCCCAACGAAACCAAACTTCCTAAGCAAGTTATCACTTTGGTGGTTTACTAATAACTGCCGGCTATCATAATTTTGTCTGTAAAGACCTCACCAGAACCCGAGGTCTTACCCCTTTGAGACCCACCCCCCCCCCTTTTTCTGAGTAACACAAAAGTTGTTTGGGATGTCGGCGGGAAAAAGGGGGGTGGGTGGGTGCATACTCTCAGCTGCTCCCCTAAACTACGTTTCATACTACGTGTATAAAGTTTATTTGCCCTTTGGCCTATCATCATCATCATCATCATCATTATTATCATCATCATCATCATCATTATCCTCATCATCATCACCATCTTCTTCTTTACGCACTTGGTCAAGGCCTGGACCACTCACCCCTCACACCCCCTTCACAATTAGAAAAAAAAAAAAAAAAAAGACGGTTGAATACCCCTCCCCCCCCCCCCAACTCCTTCATTCACGCATGGAAATTCTCTTTCTAAGGACTTTGTTTCTGAATTTCATATTATTATTATTATGGTTGTTGCTATTAAGCACATTAGTATTGTTATTATTATTATTATTATTATTATTATTATTATTATTATTATTATTATTATTATTATTATTATTATTATTATTATTATTATTGCACACTCAAAAGGCCTGAGGTCACTTAAACCTGTACCCTCTCCCAATAAAAATTATATAGGTCTTCCTCCTCTCTGAGCTCCCACTCCCTTCAAGGCCCACACATTCCCCCTCCCCCCTCCCCTCCTTTTTTCCCTTCTCTAGAGTTTTCTTCGTTTCGGCACCTGTGTTGGCTATATATATATACATAAGGAGACGATAAGGCTTTCGTTTCCGGTTATAAAGCAGACGTAACAGACACGATAAGCTCATAAAACAGCAGGAATCGTTTTGAGTACAGACAACTTACAATATTTTCCGTAGACGCCGAATGTTAATTGTCCATCCTTTACAGGACGTCGCACAACCAACCTCCAGCATCTGATTCTGATTTCACAGGGACATTTTACCTTCAGTAGGTTTCCATTGTCGGCTCTGTGGCTAAGTCGATGCGAACGCTTTGTAATGTCGGGATGCCGGGTTTGATCCCAGCTGCGGGACATGCGCCTTGCGTTGGTTTCGACAGTGGTATCAAGAAAGCCGACCAACAGAAAGCAAAGGCAAACTACTGGACGTAAATGTGCCTAGAAAAACCACACAACAGCCAGGGGCTGTTGGGGTTGGTTCTGCAACGTCATGTAAAGGATACGCAACTAACCAAGGTTTCCATTGTTTCAATATTTTTCAGAATTAAAAAAAAAATTTATTAATGATCTCCACACCAACTGCGTATTAGAATCTACAACGAAGAGACAAAAAATGCCACGTATTTTGAATATCTAAGCTTCCCCAGATGGGTTCCGTGGCCCTGTTAAGGACAAACAAAAATAGACCCACCGCCTACCCAAAAGCATGTCGTAAAAGTCGACTCATTGGGAGCTTTCTTCAAAGTCGGAGTGCATCTGTCTGAGAGACAAGGAACCAAAAGTCAGCATACAAACGAGTCAGATATGTAAAACGGATGCACACGCAACACTCAGGTTCTGGAACAGGACTGCAGTCCAAAAGTAGACGAACAACCAGAACTTCCCGCCAGAGTAAACAGCTGGTGAACGCGAAGAAGAAGAGGAAGAAGAAGAATATCTCAGCTCAGTAGTGAACATCACTGACGGCTGTACAAAAGAAAGCAGAAAAAGGACTCACTGTAGCAAAGTTGAGAACCAGTGGTACAGTACATGCAAACTGGTTAAAGCAAAGATTTTGAGGTCATGCCTCGTTACCGATGCACCTGATATGTGTTAATCATGTACCCTTTCTAAATCATTAAAGACGAAACTCGGAGCTGTTGAACTGACATTCTTCGTGTGGGTTCCGAGATCCCGTTGTGTGGGGGGGGGGGGGGAAACAAGAACAGACCCACTGCCTCCCCAACAAGCATGTCGTTAGAGTCGACTATTTGGGAGCTTCTTTGGAAGTCGGAGTGCATCTGCCTCCGAGGCAAGGAACCAACAATCTGCATTCAAGTGAATCACATCTGTAAAACTGATGCACACGCAACACCCCGGTTCTGGAGCAGGACTGCAGTCCAGATGTGGACCAACAACCAGAACTTTTCGCCAGAGTGTACAGCTGGTGAACGCGAAGAAGAAGAAGGAGAACTAAAATGGTATAGAAAAAATTCTCAGGCTACCATCGACCAAGAAGCAGATAAATACCGACATCCTACTTCATCTGAACATCGAGGAGAATTGGCTCACAATCAGCATCCTGTCCCCAAAGATGGGGCATTATGGCCCTGTGAAACGTCATGGCGGCCTGGAGAAATCGGTGATGGAGGGCGCAGTTTCCAGGAAACAGGGGCAGAAACCCACCTACGCGAAAGTGGATACGAGACTCGGAAGATGCATTTATAATGAAAGTACATAGGGCTGGAGAATAAGTTAGAGAAAGAGAAACTGTCAGAAGTGCCATAAGGAAAGCGACGCTCTGCAAACAAACTGCCGATTGATGAGTTTACTATTCACATCTGCAAGGTCGGCACTCGATATCACGACCCACAGCTGGGATAGAATCCAAATCCCTGGAATTACAAAGTCTTTGACACAACAAACATAACAGACAGACTCCTTTTTTATGACGTTAATGTGTCACATTAACAACCTTTGTCGAAATACATTGTTTCCCTTCTTCTATCTCACACTCTTCTTCTTCTTCTTCTTCGCGTTCACCGGCTGTAAACTCCAGCGGAAAGTTCTGGTTGTTTGTCCACTTCTGGACTGCAATCCGGCTTCAGAAACTGGGTGTTGCGTATTAAGACATATCTGGCTTATTTGTGTGCAGACTGTTAGTTTCTTGCCTCTCAGGCAGATGTACTTCGACTTCGAAGGAAGCTCCCAATTAGTCGACTCTTACGACATGCTTTTGAGTAGGCAATGGGTGTATTCGTGTTCTCCCTATAATAGGACCCCGGAACCCACACGGGAAGCTCTCACACTGGTTCTTTCTTTCTTCTCCTCTACTCTTTACAGAGAGGGAGCCACAATGGTGTAGCAGCTAGATGGTCGCCTGCGGATCTGAAGTTCGTGGGTTCAGGTCCGAACGGAGCCAGACTTTCTTTTTTAAAAATAACCTTGGATCCCAGGTCGACTCAGCCATCAATGGGTACCAGGTAAAGTTCTGGGAAGTAAAAGCGGCCGGCGTCATGCGGGCCATAATACTCACCGACTGCCGATTGGATTATAAAATATAGATTTAGCCCTATTTGCTCAATACGCCTGAAGTCGTGGACAAAGGCATCGTATACATACCCGATGTGCCCTTAGCCTAGAAACGCTTCTTAACTTAACTCTAAATCTGGAGCATAGCATCAATGATTTCGATCACTGACCGCCTTTGTATCCAAAGCCTGCTAAACATACAAGATGGCCGAGGCATGCAGCCTTTCACGTCTGCTATATTGATTGCCCATTAGATTTCAACTGTTCCAACTCAGCCAGGACAATTAGTATGCCTCTTCTAGAGACAATCAATACAACAGAAAGTAAACCACATATGCTCATAAAAGGCCAGTCTTCTTCTTCTGCCTTTCTATCCCTCAATGGAGCATAGGCCCGCAACCAGCTCACGCCAAGTCGTTCTATCCTTTGCTATTACATGGAGCTTTCCCTATGTTGCGCGTTGGAGGTATATAGGCTGACCGTCATTTCATTGAACGAAGTTTTTTCGCCAGGGACACTAGATGAGTATCATTTATTCTATACATTAGAGTCCTATGTAGTGACTTCATAGTTAGAGCCTATTTGTGTATGTGTACTGTGTTGTCCTTTATGTGCTGATGAAGGCTAATCGCCGCAACGTCCTTTGTTTGTTTATTGTGATTGATTTTGTAAAGCTAACATAAACTAATTGTTGTTTCTTACCAACTTTTTCTCTTCCCTATAATTTTCTACTCCTTATAAAAACTTTTTTTTATAAAGGTTTTCCTAGCTGAGAGGAGGTATGTCTACGATCCGGACTCCTTTCAGCTTTCTCCTCACCGTGTCATACTTCTTCTACTTGAAAAGCCTCCTCTCATCTTGGTTGGATGGGTTTTACTAGCTTCTCTTTTTGACTTATCCATGGTTGGTTGGTTTTGGTGGCTATTGCTTTCACAGGATGAGGTAGTCAACCACAAGCCCAAACCTACCCTTAGTCGCCTCTTACGACATGTCTGGTAGGGTGCAGTGTCACTATTCTTTGCTTCCCGTGGGGACCCCGGTGACACAAGGGCGATAAAAAGCCAGTAGCCCTGATTAAAGCTACCGTGCTTTCCCGTGTTTTCCATACAGCCTTGCCTCGATTGAGGCTGGAACAGACCACTTGTCTTCTCTCTTAGCGGCGAACCTTTTAGTGCTGGGAAAGAGGACGAAAAGACAATGCAGATATCTATAAACATTCTTACCTTCCATGTACATTAACCTGTTTACATCTCATCATCTCAGTTATGGCACAGATAAGTAAACAAGAACACAGAAGAATGGAAAGTTCCCAAGCTAGTTAGTCATCCTCCTTGTAGGGAGCGGTGACAGCCGCGTTTTGCTGTAGAAGAAAGCAGCAATTCTATGAAATTCCACAACCAAAGTATAAGTAAAAGCCATTTTTTCATGCCTTCATGAGTATTGGGCATAGAGGGCTAGATTTATATTTTATAGACCAATAGGCACTCGGTAGGTGATGGGGTCAACCGGCCGCCTTTCCTTCCCAGGACTTTACTTAGAACCCATTTAAGGCTGGGTCAACCTGGGAACCAAGGTCCATTTGGGGAGGGGAGGAGAGGGGAGGAGTCCTGCTCCGTTCGGCTTTGATACCACGACCTTCGAATCCACACGGAAGCATCTAGTGGCTACACCACCACGGCTCCCAAAAGTCAATAACTAGCTCAAGTAACAGACACTTTAAACTCCCTTAGCGCATCAGGCATTCGACGTTTAGCTCATATTTTTTTTTTATAAATCACTCGACGCTCTGTGGCTGGTGTGGTTAACATCACACCGGTCGCTTTTACTTTCCATGACTTCACTTGGTACCTGTTTTAGGCTGTGTCGACCTGGGAGCCAAAGTCAATTTTGACCCAACACCCCCCGCCCGCACCCCCCCCCCCCCAGCAAAAAAAGTAGACTTGGTCGCGATTCGAACCTAAGACTTTCGGACTGGCAGGCGAGCGTCTAGTTGCTACACAAATGCGGCTCTGTCTATGTTATGATATGTTATGTTGTTAAAATCAACGTCACTGCACAATTGCCATTCCCTTGAGTGCTCAGTCCTCCGATGCAGCGACCAACCCAAGGTACCTCTGATGATTGTTCTGATGAGGATCTGGTTCTCCTGCCTCCTATCTCGGCCTCGGAGGCGACATAGACACGCTTCGCCATGCTTTACTCCCATTTCACGCAACAGTGTTAGTGTCAGATATTCGTCGTTATCCGCTAATATAGTCCATACAGCGTTGATATCTTCTGCTCTGTCTATGTCTCTTCCCCCCCCCCCACCCCCACCCCCCCCCCCAAGCTTTGGTGCATTGCTTGCCATTTAGTCCGCTCATTTGTTACGTTTCCCACCGGCAAGGCCAGGGGTATAGATCCAGTTAGAGGGAAGCCAAGTGCGACTTCCGAAGGCTTTCTATCCACTCAAAGCGTTAACTACGTGTTGCGATTTTTTGAAGCATGATGAAGCCAAAAGACAAATCTACTACGGAGAGGAGTTTGATAAGCTTCAATAAATTTCAAACACACTGATCCCAATTTCAATCCCTACCTTACATTCAAACACATTGATCCTAGTATCAATGCATACCTTACATTCACACACATTGATCCTAGTATCAATCCATACCTTACTATCACACACACTGATTCTAGTATAAATTCATACCTTACATTCACACACACTCATCCTTTTATCAATCCATACCTTACATTCACACACAATGATCCTAGTATCAATCAAAATCTCATATTCACACACATTGATCCTATATCAATCCATACCTCACATTCACACACACTCATCCTATTATCAATCCATGCTTTACATTCACGCACACTGATCCTAGTATCAATCAAAATCTCACATTCACACACCTTGATCCTAGTATCAATCCATATCTTACATTCGAACATACTGATCCTAGTATCAATCCATACTTTACTTTCACACACATTGATCCTAGTATCAATCTATACCTTACATTCAAACATACTGATCCTAGTATCAATCTATACCTTACATTCACACACATTGATCCTAGTATCAATCCATATCTTACATTCGAACATACTTATCCTAGTATCAATTCATACTTTACTTTCACACACATTGATCCTAGCATCAATTGGAATAAACTCACAGGGAGCAAGTACAGCAGGGATCTACCAGTCGTCAGTAGAAATTATCCTCGTCAACGAGCGTTTCGGCCCACTATTTCTAGACGCTTTCGGAGGTGGGCCCACCTGAGTTCATGAAGCTCAGGGCTGGTTCCCTGCTGCACGAGATTACCGGATGGTGTTTTTCCTTTCGGCCAGAGACAAGACGACTTGGTGGTTTCGCAGAAGGTACTGTGAGATAATAAGTCGCCGCGGCAGCCTAATTAAAGCAGTCAGCGTGCCTGGACGACCGAGCGACAAGCTTACGATTGGTTTACCGGACACATGTTGGACTTTATTAGCTGGTGGCAGAGGATCACTGGCAGACAATTCGGACACGATGGACTTTTTAGGGGTGAGAAACCCTTTTCCACTAGACACCCGGACCAGCTCACCGAGGCCCGTCCCCTACGTTGTTGCGTTGCGTCCAAAGCCAGCTAGAGGCCCTTTCGGCTACCTCTCCCAGTTTTTTGAGTGTACGTTTCCGTTCATTACCGCGCAATCCTAGTTCTTTAACCACATTGTAGAGCGAAGTGGAAACGAGGCCTCTCTCTCCCACTTCGACGGCAAATACCCGTACTGTGTACGCCTCGTTTCTCCTCAGACCGGCGGCTAAATCACTATATTTCTCGAGCTTATACAGGTGATTTTCATCCATACGCGACTCATACGGGACGGTCAACTCTATCAGGATAAGCTGCCGTTTTTGCGCAGAGTGGAGGACTATGTCAGGTCGCAGACCGGTCTTCAGAATTAACTCGGGGTACCGTTCATGGCCTGGCAGATCAACCGCCAGTAACCAGTCCCTAGCAGAGTCTAGCACAGATGGAGCGAATGCGTTTCGGTTGACCTTACCTTTTGGAACCTGCCCAGCCTTGAGGAAACGAATGGGGACGATGCTAGAACTGGCCCTTGCGTTGGCCCTCATTCTAGCCTGGTCAACAACGGCTGCTAACTCTTTTAGCACCTTGTTGTGTAGCCAGGTGTATCGGCCTTGACCTAGGGCTTTCCTGCACGCGGACAGGACGTGCTCAAGAGTTTGCTTCGATTTACACAACGGGCAAGTCGGATCGTTAGTCACAGACCATTTAACCATGTTAACACCGGACGGTAATACATCGTACGCCGAACGAACGATAAAGCTCAGTCGCAGCGGGGTCATCCGCCAGATCTCACCCCATGTGAGTACTCTTGGCAATGCGCTCTCCAGGCTGACCCAATGGCCCTGCTGCGACTGCTGGGCTGCTTTCTGGACCCGAACCTCGTTTTCGTTGTCCCTCACCGTTTGTATTACTATGTCTCGGCGCTCTTTGGCTGAGGCCTTTGACCACCAATTGACCTTCCCGTGCCCTAGGCCTCGACGGTCGGTTTGAGTGTATCCCATTATCTCCTTCAATTTTAGTGCATTCTGGGCAGATTCTATCCCATCGAGGACTCTCCACTTCTGGCCAATCTTTAGAGCAGGCTGGACAGCGATGACATTTGGGTCTGAAGACTCGCGCAAGAGCATGGCGAGTCTTACCTTGCCGACTTTAAACTCTTCGGTTATCAATTTGAACGGGAGTACCAGCTTAGCCTGCTTGCAATACAGAGCCACGTCGGTCAGACAAGGCGGTGCACCAATCCACTTTCTCAAGGCTGTGTTGATTTTCTTCTCCATGGTTTCCACTGCAGTCATCGTCACCTCGTAGACTAACAGTGGCCATAGGAGCTTTGGAATCAACATGAATTGGAGACACCATACCTTGAATTTTCCGACCAGCCTGCAACGCTCGATCGCGAGCAGGCCTGTAGCCAGTGACTCGTGTATTCGCCGGACTTCCGCTCTATCAGATAACTTCGAATCGTAAACGCGACAGAGACTCTTCACCGGTTCATCCAGAACCGTAGGGATCTTGTTCCTTGCCACCGTAAAACTGGTTGCCGACACCCTGCCCTTAAGGATTGACAGACTCCTCGACTTCTGCGGTTTGAACTGCATACCGCTCCATTGGACCACCGCGTCCAATCTTTTCAGGATCGTGCGGGCAGACTCCTCGCTGCCCGTTATTATAGTCGTGTCATCCATAAATGCGCGTAGTGGCGGCAACCAGTGATCCCCTATTTGAAGGCCCAGTCTGTAGCCGGCCGCCCCGTCTAACATGATCTGCATTGCCATGACAAACAGTATAGGTGAGATCGTACACCCCATAGCTATCCCAATCTGCAACTCAGTCCACCTCGTGGTAAACGTCGAGGTAGAGAAGCGCAAAGCGAACTTAGAGAAATATTGCTCGATCATATCATTGACCTGTGCCTGCCGGTACGTGGAACATGCGAAGGGCTCGCCACAGTAGCCTATGGGGGACTGCCCCGTAGGCGTTGGCTAAGTCCAACCAAATCACGTGCAATTGAGTTCTCTCATGCTTGGCTCTCTGGATAGCCTCCCAAATCATGGTCGCGTGTTCAAGGCACCCAGGAATGCCCGGAATACCACCCTTCTGAACACTCGTATCTATGTACTTGTTAGCCATCAGATACTGTGTGAGCCGGCGAGCCATGACCGAGAAGAATATCTTACCCTCGACATTCAACAGCGAGATGGGCCTGAATTGGGAAAGACTCTTCGAGTCCTGCTCTTTGGGAATGTAGACCCCATTTGCCTTTGACCACTCTGGACATATGTGTTTACGGATCCACGCTTGTTTCAACAAGACGTGAAGCATTTTTAGGATTTTCGGGCAACGCTTGTAAAGAACGTACGGAACACCGTTCGGACCTGGGGCAGACTTGCCGCTGGCCTTTTTCACAACTTCCTCAACCTCAGACCAAAGGGGAGGTATCATTTTAAATGGTACCTTCGGCACCGAAGGCTGTTTGAGGCCGCTAAGGGTCTCTGGATTGTCATCGAGAGGCTCTCTCCTCTTTTTGTCAGAGTAAATTTTGCGTAGATGTAACTCAAGTTCTTCCTGACTGACAACCAGAGTCCCAGACTTCGGTTGCTCGAATAGACCTCGGGCAAACTGATACGGGTCCCTAAAGAATTTCTCTCGCTCCCTTTTGGTTCTGCGTCTGTTGTTACAGAAACGCTCGGCGCGACAGAGGTCACTGTGTTTGTTCTTTAAATGCAACCAAACTTCATACAGCCCCTCCCGTTCGCTGCCTGTAGCTGCTTTGAACCGTTTTCTGAGGGCATTCTTGTCTGCCCGACACTTCAGAATGTCACTCTGCCTCCTGCTAGTATTCTGCTTGGCACCCGGCTGTGCCTTTTCTACTGTCCCGAACTCACAGGAGCAGTGTTCATATATTACATCACCAAATTTTGTAAGCTTGTCGCCTAACGACTTCTTGTTCAAATCATGTTTAAGTACCTCACATAATGTAGCCTCCAACTTACACCACACCACCTTATCGCTCGCAGGTGGAAACCTGATCTTTGAACGCACTTCCTCAGAAATCATCAAATGTGCTCCTCCGCAGTCGACGTCATGGGCCTCTCCGGGCGAGTGGGGTTCACACTGCCCGTCGTTCCCTGACGACTCAGAAACTACCACAGGAGTAGTAGTTTTGCGACGGCGTTTACTGCGTGGAGCACCCTCGCATTTCATTCGTTCTCAGACCATGCAACCCCGTGAAGCTCTTTCCACATGTACAGAGCCAGCCCGGACGTTGGGCGAGTATCTGAGTCCGGGGGCTAGCATAGTCGTCACCGAGAGTATCAATTTGATTGGGCCTTTCATTCTCTCCCCCCCCCCCCTTTTCGGAGGGCCCTGGGGGCATATTTCTATGTGGTTGTACGAAATCGGAGGTATTATACTGTGTTAGGGATGATCAACCCGGTCCACAGTCGACATCTGTCTCCAGATGTCAGTTTATCCCCCCGGGCGATACCGGGGGGCCAGTCTTTCCATAGGTGACACAAGGTCTTTCCCGAGAGTCACCAGTCTTTCCTGGTAGCCTTGTGGGCTGGCCACGTACAATAGGAATAAACTCACAGGGATAAAGTACAGCAGGGGTCTACCAGTCGTCAGTAGAAATTATCCTCGTCAACGAGCGTTTCGGCCCACTATTCCTAGACGCTTTCGGAGGTGGGCCCACCTGAGTTCATGAAGCTCAGGGCTGGTTCCCTGCTGCACGAGATTACCGGATGGTGTTTTTCCTTTCGGCCAGAGACAAGACGACTTGGTGGTTTCGCAGAAGGTACTGTGAGATAAGAAGTCGCCGCGGCAGCCTAATTAAAGCAGTCAGCGTGCCTGGACGACAAAGCGACAAGCTTACGATTGGTTTACCGGACACATGTTGGACTTTATTAGCAGGTGGCAGAGGAACACTGGCAGACAATTCGGACACGATGGACTTTCAAGGGGTGAGAAACCCTTTTCCACTAGACACCCGGACCAGCTCACCGAGGCCCGTCCCCTACGTTGTTGCATTGCGTCCAAAGCCAGCTAGAGGCCCTTTCGGCTACCTCTCCCAGTTTTTTGAGTGTACGTTTCCGTTCATTACCGCGCAATCCTAGTTCTTTAACCACATTGTAGAGCGAAGTGGAAACCAGGCCTCTCGCTCCCACTTCGACGGCAAATACCAATCTATCAATCTATACCTTACATTCAAACATACTGATCCTAGTATCAATCTATACCTTACATTCACACACATTGATCCTAGTATCAATCCATATCTTACATTCGAACATACTGATCCTAGTATCAATCCATACTTTACTTTCACACACATTGATCCTAGTATCATTCTATACGTTACATTCAAACATACTGATCCTAGTATCAATCCATACTTTACTTTCACACACATTGATCCTAGTATCATTCTATACGTTACATTCAAACATACTGATCCTAGTATCAATCCATACCCTAAATTCAAAAACATTGATCCTAGTAGGGGTACATATCTCACATTCAAATGCATTGATCCCAATATCTATACCTTACATTTAAACATACTGATCCTAGTATCAATCCATACTTTACTTTCACACACATTGATCCTAGTATCATTCTATACGTTACATTCAAACATACTGATCCTAGTATCAATCCATACCTTAAATTCAAAAACATTGATCCTAGTATGGGTCCATATCTCACATTCAAATGCATTGATCCCAATATCTATACCTTACATTTAAACATACTGATACTAGTATCAATCCATACTTTACATTCACACATATTGATTGTAGTATTAACCATATCTTACATTCACACACATTGATCCTGGTATCAATCCACTACTAGAGACTGGCGACCTCTTTTAAAGAACATCTGCTTCTTCTGCCTTAGTAGTTAAATATAGTTGTGTGTCTTTTGCTAGTTCCGTAGTTTGCGCTAGTGTCATTGCGTTTCTGTGGTGTTTCTTTTACTCCCCTCACCCATCTCTTTCTTGGTCGGCCTCTTGACTTGAAACCTGCTGTTCCCATGTAGTACGCTTGGTAATTCTCTTCCATTCCGACCAGATGTCCAAACCATTTGATTAGTTGATGTACCAATGTCCTTAGTTCTTCATTGGTGACTATATCGACTATATATCTTTGTCATTTTCCATCCGCATTTCCTATACATCGCATCTCGCATGTTGTAATTCGTGCCTTTGAATTTTTTGTGGACTGTCCATGTTTGGCATTGATAGCACAAAGTTGGAATTTAAAGTTTAGTACTAAGCAACCTAGTTGGCTCTGTGGCTAAGTCGATGCGAACGCTTCGTAATGCCGGGGTGCCGGGTTTGATCCCAGCTGCGGACCATGCGCCTTGCGTTTGTTTCGACAGTGGTATCAGGGAGCCGACTGCTCAGGAAGCAATGGCAAACTACTAGACGTAATTTGCCTAGAGAAACCCTACAACAGCCAGGGGCTACTGGGGTTGGTTCTGAAACGTCCTGTAAAGGATACGCAACTAAGCAACATAAAAAGGCAGAAAATTCTTAAAAGCTATATAAATCCTATGTTGATATAGGTATGTGAATCATGGACAGTTGGTAAATTAGTGAAAACTTATTTCGAAGCTGCAGAGATGTAGTTTTATACACAGATAAAAAGAGTAATGAAGACGTCTTGAAAGAAACTGACTCACGAAGAGAGCTGATCGCCCACATCAGAAAGAGACAATCTATATTCTTTGCTCATGTGATGAGAAGGAGAAAACTGGAGTACATCGCTAGGAAAGTTGGAGGGAAGGAGAGGCAGAGGGAAACCGAGAGAACAGATACTGGACAGTTTGACATCATGGCATGGAGGATCATCTGTGTCAAAGTTGACTGAAAGTACACGAGATATAAGATTTTGGATAGACATGACTACCAACGCCACGCGGCAAGGACTTTAAGGAAGAAGAAAAGAGATAAACAACACATTAAAAAAAAAAAAAATGAATCAGTAAATGTTTTGTACACCCAGCCCTGTTGTATGGTACAGAAACTTAGACAATGAACAGGCAACTAGCAAATTAAACCGAGTCTCTGAAAATGTGGATATACAGAAGAAAAACAAAAACAATCAAATACCGAGTTCTTGAAGGACAGCGGGTGAAATGAATTACTGAAAGAAGAAAGAAAAAGACAAGTGAAATATTTTTGCTACATTAAAAGACATGATATACATTTCAAAACCATACTAGAGGTAAAGATTGATGGCAAGGGTTAGAGAACGATACAAATGTTGATACCGTGAAGAGATGGTCAAACAGCCGTCTGAGGGAGTGTACAACCAAGAGAAGATACAGAGCGTGTTGGAGATCCATTGCAGCCAACCTTCATAGTGGAGACGGCGCCTGATTGATTTATTGATTTTGATAAAGCAGGCGTATTACAGCCCCAGCAGCAACAAAAACAACAACAACAACAAACTTACCCAGGTCACCACTCCAAGGAAGAGACCGTGGACAAGGACAATAAAGAAAGCGTCCATTTTGTTCAGAAGCAAGTAAGTGAACGAAGCCAAAATCATGCAAACAAAGAAGGCCGTGTTGACAATCCTAGCCCGCCTTAGGAGCAGCGTGCTAGGAGCGAGCATCATGGCGCCACTTTCGGGGTCGATGTAGCAAGCTGTGCAGTTGGCGGCAACATACACCGTGAACAGAAAGAGGGTCTCCAGGCTTTCATAAACCTTCTCGAAGCATCCAGTTTCTTGCTGGCCAAGTTTCCTCTGTCGGTTCATGGAACTAGCGTCCAATAATTTTCTTTTCAATCTGTAATAAATGTGTGAGGGACTGTTAATACTGTGTCAGGCCCAGGACAGCTGTTATAAAATTTTAATTAGGCTTAAAGCGTACCAAAAACCTGGCAAACTTAGGGTCAGAAAGTGATAAAAGAGATAGGAGCGGTCCCAGTGCTCTATTAGGCCTGTGCTATTCTGACTAGTGACATGTATATCTGATTTTCCCGTTGTGTTCAGGGGTTTAGCGCAACGCGAGTTTAGTTGTGTAGGCAGAGATAGGTTTCCATCTGTTGTTATGGTATTTTCCAACACGTTGTAAATTTTAATGCATATTTCCCCTGTGTGGGTTCCGGGGCCCCATTGTGGGGAAAACAAGAATAGACCCACTGCCTCCCCAAAAGCATGTTGTAAGAGTCAACTAATTGGGGAGCTTCCTTTGAAGACGGAGTGCGTCTGTCGGAGAGGCAAGGAACCAACAGTCTGTATTCAAGAGAATGAGATCTGTAAAACTGATGCACACGCAACACTCAGGTTCTGGAGCAGGACTGCAGTTCAGTAGTAGACGAGCAACCAGAACCTTCCGCCAGAGTTTACAGCTGGTGAACGCGAAGAAGAAGAAGAAGAAGAAGAATGCATATTTTTTTGTGCAGAACTGTTGAATGTGATAATTATAGTTCCAGATGTTTTGATTCAGATTAAGGCTTGTAGTTAGTGTGCCTAGTTTGCTGTTACTGCTATCTAGACTGTATGCAAAACATTTCCTGTCTGGGTAAGGCACAACGGCCTTACCCTCGCCTAAATGAACTTTCTCTCTCTCTATTTTTTTCTTGTTACTGAGGCAGCTTAAGGTTGGGTTTTGGCTCCCACTCCTTTATAGTTATCTCTTCCCTTTTGCTCTAACACAATATTTCCCCTTTCGCTTTGCTTCTAGTACAATGCGATGGAAGAAGACAGGGGTGTGAAAGGGGTGAAGAAAAAAAAGGAAGGATGAGGGAGGGACTGAATCAGGATGAAGAAAAGGAGGAAATGCAAAAAGAAGAAGAAGAAGAGGTAGAAGAAGCAACAGAAGCAGGCGACCACGAAGAAACAAGAACAGATAGAACAAAACAAAACACCAATCCCAAGAATAAGTCAAACAAATCAACAAGGAAAAAGATTAGAGAACAAGAAAACAGTAACAAAAGTTCGCGAACAATGATGACACAAAAATAACAAAAACAATGAATGAATACATCAAGAATTGACGTCACTGCACTAGAGACATTCCCATGCGTTCTCCGTCTCCTTTCTCAGAAGCCAACGAAGAGTCGATATGCTAACAGTACCTCTTACATCCTGATTAAAACTCCGCCTATGTTTTTCAATCAGTGTTGAACAACTTCCAGAATTTCTACTCACTCTTCGTTGAATCAGCCTTTCAGCCGAACAACAATAATGGAGCAAGGATAAAAAGAACAAATGAAGCAAGAGCAATAACAATCAATCAAGGTCAAGTCTTATTGCAGCAGATATCTTTATCTGCTGATTCTGTGAATATTGCACGACGAGGAAGAAATTTCTCAAACAGTGCGATTCTCATACCATTGCTGGAAACAACTAAAACTGTCTTCACTCTGAAAAACCCACAGAGGAAATCGAATCCTGACGGTCAAATATTATGAAACGCGTTCACTAACAAACCAAAAACAATAAATGTTTAAAGGACATCAGTTGGGAATTGGAAAGACGCCGCACGAATCGTGGTAATTAATTAAAATAATTTCCAGACGTCTTGATTCGTTTTGCCACTGGACTTAGATGGACGGGCGAGAGAGTGAGGTCGACGAAGTGCCCAACCCTTGCTGACTTAAATCAAAATCCCAGCCGTTATCCTTTTATCGATCTCACAGCCTTCATCATCGAGGAGCTGTGGCCCATGAAGCTGCTAGAACTGCAAGAGCAGTTCAGAAAAGACAAGCCAGGAAAGACACTGAAGCAAATCACCAGAGCAGAGAGATGCGGCTTCTATTCATAGTCCACACTGCTCAAGAACTTTCAGTGCTAGAATTGGCTTTATCAGCCATCTACACACTCACTGCTCAAGAACTTTCAGTGCTAGAATTGGCTTTATCAGCCATCTACACACTCACTGCTCAAGAACTTTCAGTGCTAGAATTGGCTTTATCAGCCATCTACACACTCACTGCTCAAGAACTTTCAGTGCTAGAATTGGCTTTATCAGCCATCTACACACTCACTGCTCAAGAACTTTCAGTGCTAGAATTGGCCTTATCAGCCATCTACACACTCACTGCTCAAGAACTTTCAGTGCTAGAATTGGCTTTATCAGCCATCTACACACTCACTGCTCAAGAACTTTCAGTGCTAGAATTGGCTTTATCAGCCATCTACACACACACACACAACCTAACCGTTACCACTGGATGAAAATACTGGTCATCATCATTTGTGATGGACGAACAACAACAACAATAATTATAATTAAAAAAAAAAAAAAGCGATGAAAGGGTTTGTTTATAAAAAGAGACGCTCACCTCATTGGTCTGGACGTTAAATTAAAAAAAAAAAAAAAACACTGCAGGACAGAGGTGGTTTTATGAGATGGTTGCCAGCGGCCTTCAGCCAAACTAAGCGTCACAAAAACCAAATCAAGATGGTCTGGTGTGTTTTACATAGAAGATATTTGGCCTAATGTTGGTGACTTGGATTTCTGACATACTCGTTAGGGAGATGGGGAAGCTTTTGCGCTCTCTGCCAAAGTGCTTTGTGGTGCGTGTGGTCTATAATTATTCTTTCTATTCTGGCAAACATAAAAAAGTTACAGAATGCTGTGGATACTGCGCATGAGGATAATTTGCAAGAGGGCGCCCAAAGAACAGATAGATCAATGACATTAAAGACATTATACATCCACACGCAATGGCAATAGCTAGTGCTACCCACTGAGAAATGGATCGTTAACTGTTTCTCTTCAGGTTAGTTAACGACAAAAGTAGAAATCGATGATAATGATGACTTATTGATTTTACAAAATAACTTATTTATCTTAAGATTAAACATCCGTGAAAACTATGGCTATATATCAGGAAGCAAATCAAAGTGACAGTTTTGAAGTTTGAACAACGGATCAACATCGTGGCACACGGGTAGTAACCCATAATCGCTCCGTTCTTCTTCTAAATCAAGTCTGAGTCTAAAGAAGCTAAGCACAGTGCACAGGCTCTGTAGCACCGGCGAGGATCCTGGAATACTTTAAGTACATTATTAACTCCAAATTGTGCCTGGACAGCGCCGCTCGGCTACTCTTTTCGATTTCCAACTGCCAACGGATTTTTTTTTTTTAACGTGTGCACCAATGCACACGGGCGTTCGATTTCACTACCCAGAGACCAGGGGGAATTACTAGAAGTCCAAGTCCAAGTGGAAAAATCCCAGCCCTTACCGGGGATTAAACCCGGAACCTCCAGCACTCGAGGCGGACACTATGCCTCTTGACCACGAGGTTACATTTTTAAGAGCATGCATCTTCCCTGTAGCGATGTATGGATGTGAGTTATAGGCTTGAACAAAAATGTGAGATTGCCCCAACCACCCTTCATGAGATGTGAAGCTATAGAAACATTATCAGACCACCATGTACTAAAAAGAATAGAAATACTGACATCTTTGAAGATTTGAATATCAAGGACAATTGGCTAGCATGTTAAATGTTGAATAAGGAATCGATATCAATGCCCTCATGACACCCCCATAAGCACTCCGTCCGCATCTTTAGCAGCAAGCGAAGAGTTCCAATTCCGATGGCACCAGTAACTGTCTGATTGTATATTCGTCTCGCCTTTCTGAGTGTCAATCATTGGCCAGATCCCGTGGTAACTCCTCGTAGCGCGATTCTCCTCAGTCCGTAATGATATATCTGGGCCTCCGCATTGTTCAATCGCTCATAAAGAGCCCTCACAACTTTCAGCTTGTCATACATCAGTTCACCACCAAGCGTTGCCTGCTCATTTCCCAACACCCCGGCATGACCTGGAGAAAATATATCAAAAAGATGCAAATTATCCTGGACCTCTGAAGTGAGGTTTGCCACTCATGGCAAGTAAACAGCATTTTGCCTCTAGAAACTTAAATACTATAACCACATGAAACCTCACTGTGGATTGCAAAGAATAGTAGCCGAGGGCATGGTACCAGGCAACAAACCAAAATAGTCAAGCTGCTGAACAGCAGTCTTTGGCGTTTTCGAGCTCATCACATTATCTTCAGAATCTAGCGAGGAATTCCAATTCCCATGGTGCCAGTAGCTGTTTGACTAAATGTCCTTCTTACCTTTCCTTTGAGTGTATAGTGTCAACCAGACCCCCAGTTCACTCTCAGCTGCACGGTTCTCTCCAGACCATAGTGATCTTTTCATGCCTCTGCGATATTTACTGGCTCCCAAGGGGCCTTGACCACATTTAGCCTATCATGCATAAATGTATCATCCACTAGTGCAGAACTAGCAAATCTGTCTGCCTTTTCATTTCCCAACACTCACGCTTATCTAAGATAAAATATCCAAAGAACGCTAACTACTTGGGACCTCTACAGCAATGATTGCCACGTTGCACATCTTGTCTCCACTTTTCTTAACATGCTTTGCCAGTCTCGTGTGCAGCTAATTCTTAAACACTTCTTTCTATGAGTGTCGATCAATTCTTTGTCTTTTTTAAAAACTGTAAATAAAAGGAGTTACGTTCTGTAAAGGACCTGCTACGTGTTGATGGTATTTGTCTTACATTTCCAAATGGGAAATACCGAACTAGAAACTATGGCACCAACGGGCATCAAAGGTGATCTCGTTATCACCATAGATAGTCCTCAAGATCATTACTGTTCTGTATGGGTGAAGGCAGCACTGGGCTGGGTGAGTTCTGTGACGTTCATATGTAATCTAGACACATCAAACTTTGGACAATATACGTGTCTAAACTAAGCTAAAGCTAAATATCCTTTTTTCACGATTTAGGCGCGTCGGGTGTATGGGAAGAGCATCCCATATTTTTATAGACCAATCGGCACTAGATGGGTAATGTGGTCAGCATTACGCCAGCCGTCTTTACTTCCCCAGGACAGCCATCCTGGTACCCATTTTAGACTGTGTTTACCTGCGACTCCCCATACTGTGATTAAAAAAAACCTACGCATATGCGTGTCTAGTATCTATTTATACGATTTTTAGCTTCTTCTTCTTCTTCTTCTTCTTCTTCTTCTTCTTCTTCTTCTTCTTCTTCTTCTTCTTCTTCTTCTTCTTCTTCTTCTTTTTTTTCTTCTTCTTCTTCTTCTTCTTCTTCTTCTTCTTCTTCTTCTTCTTCTTCTTCTTCTTCTTCTTCTTCTTCTTCTTCTTCTTCTTCTTCTTCTTCTTCTTCTTCTTCTTCTTCTTCTTCTTCTTCTTCTTCTTCTTCTTCTTCTTTTCTCTACACCTGGAATGCTTAACGGCGTCAGGGCAGAAAGAGATCTATGGCACGGATCCTTCTGTTCGCTTCGTATAAAGTACTTTTCAGTGGTTCTGATATTTCTGCGGCCCATGTTCTGTTTGGTCGACTTCTGGCTCTGTTACCGCTGTATCTGCATAACATTGCTCTTTGTGGTGCCTTGTCTCCTGCAAATCTTGTTATGTGACCAAATCATTTGATTTGTTCTCTAAATAAAAAGTATAGTTTTGTTTCTGTGCCGACTCTCCTCCTGATACCATCGTTACTAAGTCGATCTTTCCTCGTTACACCTAGCATAGTATGTAAACATTTCCTTTCTGTCGCAAAATATTTTCAGTCTGTCTTTTAACTGTCATTGTATATTTCCAACCCATTAATGTGAAAAATTCTTTGACTTCTTGTATATTATACTAACTAGTGTTGTCACCGTTTCTTACTTTTAAACTCAAAATTGTACCTTTTCCTCTGAAAAGTCTCTGTGTAGATATGGAGTATAAACAGTGGGAGAATGCCTTTGTGTGTACTTCGTATTATAATCAACATCTTCATTATCATCAACATCATCAATATCATCATCACAATCGTCATTACCATTATCATCATCATCATCAAGTGCCTTGCGACCTGGCTCTAAACAACATGGAATCTTCCAGATAATGTATAAGTTCACTGGAAGCCAGGGGGGTAGAGAAATAAAAAGAGAGATTACTTAACCTGAGAATGAGGCTCAACTGATACGAAGAATATGGGGGAGGAGGATGAAATGCATGCGACAGCAAGGATTAGGACGACCTAGGGGGAACTGATTGAGTCCCTGATCTGCCTTGGGAGGTAAGGGCAGTAGAATATACCAGTTCATGTGCTTACGGTCTTTACTGTCTTGGCAGTGGGCTGTCAAAAATCTTCTTCTTCTTCATTCAAGTTCACAGGTGTAAACTTCACCAGAAAGTTCTGGCTGTTCGTCCACCTCTAGACTTCAGTCTTGTTCTAAAACCTGAGTGTTGCATGCACATCCATTTTACATATCTGACTTTTTTGGATGCCTCTCCGGCAGATGCACTCTGACTTCGAAGACAGCTCCAAACTAGCAGACTCTTACGACATGGTTCTTGGGGAGGCAGTGGGTCGATTTTTGTTTGCCCTCACAAAGGGACCAGGGTACCCGCACGGGGATACGTTAAGAATCTTCTCGTGTTGTCTTTTCCCATCTCTCTTGTCATTCATATTACCAGTGGTCACAACATTCTTTATTCTTCTTTATTACCATCGTCCTCCTCATTATCTTCAACATAGTTATCACCAGCATCATCAACATCATGTGCAATGCCAGGCGGCGTAGACGCTCATGACTCTCCACAGAGAGTGTTGTGAATCAATTCCACCGATGATATTCCATTGCTTCAGACCGTTAAGCATTCTTTCTCTTGGTCTGCCTCTGTCTCTTCTGCCTTTGATCTTTTAGTCATCACGATGTTCTGCAATGCGTCTCTCCTCATTTACGAGCGTAAAACACTGACTGTCTCTTGCAGAAAGTTTTTTTTTTTTTTTTTTGCTTTCCAAATTTCATTAGCCAGTCGTTGTTAGTCAATCTGCCTGACCACTGTATCCGCAGCACGAGTCTCAGAAACCACACCTCCACGGCTTCCAAGTTCTTCCTCATTTTTTTCATTCGCATTCTAAAACTCACAGGCACGCAGCAACAATTCATATTCTCATTACGTGATCAAACTACTGTGACTGTTTCTAATATTTGTAACAAGTTGTCTTTGGACCCTTCCTTTTTTTTTAAACATCTAGGTTGCTCAGTTTGGCTACCCACGGAATTGTAAGTATTCTTCTGAAAAACCAAATCTCTGGGGCCTCCAAAAAAACCAAAACAAAATTGTTTGGCTTGTTGACTAATCGTAACTGAGCACGATTCACATTCGCGTGTTAAAACTGGTTCTATCTGGCATACACGAATTCATTTTTTTTTTAAATCCCCTTTGACATGAATTTATTGCATGAGATGATCTTCATCCTTTAAACTGCAGTTTTTACCTGTTCTATTCTCCTCTCGTCACAA